GGCAGTCCAGCTTCTTAACGCAGGTGGGGAGGCCGGGACTTCCTGTTGTGTCTGAACAGGTAATATTGGGGGGCGAGGAGAGCTTTCCGCCCACACGGTGTGCGCCAGCCCGTCCGTCCTTCGTAATTGTCAGATTCTGGTGTCAGACTCCTTTGCTCTGCCTTCAGTTTCAGGTTCCGATCTTCGGCTACTCCTGGAGCAGCTGTCCAGCCCCTGCTTTTCAGCCCATGGATTCTTCATCTAGCGTTTCTTCCTACTCTCTCCGTTCCTCTTTTTCCATCTCCCCAGTGAACAGTGACTTTGGCTCCCCCTCGGATAGTGAGGTGGAGGACCGAGGGGCCCAGGGCCCCAGGCCAGACACTGTTGGGCAGAAGGGAGGTCGTGGGCCCAGCCCGGGTCCTATCCGATGCAGGCAACGGCCCAAGGTTTCCAGTAATCAACGTTCAGCATCTCACTTGGAACAGCGGGGCTTGCCTTCTCCTGTGGCAGCATCTGGGGTGAAAAGATCAAGGGATGATGAGCTGGAGGCAGGTCTAAATACTGAGAGTTGTAGCACAGAAGGAGACCTGCTCTTTGCCCAGAAGGTAAGAGAAAGGAGGGCAAAGGGGACCCCACTAGAGCAGCTGACCACCCAGCTGGCCGGTGAGGACCCTCCGCCAGCTCCCAGGCTGGAAGCTGGAGGAAGAATCAGTGCTGGTTCAGCACCTCCTGGCCTTCTCATAGCTTCTGTCCCGCTTCCCTGCAGTGTAAAGAGCTCCAAGGATTCATTCGCCCTCTCACAGACCTTCTGAATGGGCTGAAGATGGGTCGCTTTGAGAGAGGTAATTGTCTGGTCAGTTGTGTTCATCTCAGCTTGCTTCCTCTCTCCCAGAACATGTTTTAATGTGTATCCCTATATTTGGGCCCCTCGGTTATTCCTCTTTTGCTTCCGTGACTTGGCTTCTTTAGGTGGATTCACCGTAACCTCTTTCTGCCCGTCCTTTACCTTATTTCTTTGACTTCAGCCCTTAATCTCTCTCTCCCCCTGGCCCCAGGGTTGAGCAGCTTTCAGCAGAGCGTGGCGATGGACAGAATCCAGCGGATTGTAGGTGTTCTGCAGAAGCCACAGATGGGGTAGGTCTAAGTCCTGGTTCTTTCTCAGTACTTCGTATAAAAGGGGTCTCCGGGAGAGCCCCCCAGTGGTGCAGGTGTTAGATCTCAGCGCCGGTAAGCTGTCACCAATCACTGCAGCCTGAGTTCGAGCCTTGCCAGGGAGGGACCCCCAGGGTGCAGCATACCTCTCCTGTCTCCCTGCTGCTCCCCTCAGTAGTGGGTTTCAATAGATCTGCCTGTTCCGCTCCCCACTCTTTCTCTTGTGAGTCCTCTCACCCCTGCACCTCTGGCCTCCACCCCAGTTCTTGTGTGCATAAATAAATTTTTTTAAAAAAGAGTCTCTAGGCTTGTTTTGTTACACTTTTCACGATTAGTAGCTTTTGTTTTGTAATTCTTTTTCACAGGGAGCGTTATCTGGGAACCCTGATCCAGGTGGAGGGGATGCTGAAGACTTGGTTTCCCCATATAGCTGCCCAGAAGTCACCACTGGGGAGCAGCAGGCAGCAGCTGGCCAAGGTGAGAGCTTGCACAGCTGTGGAAGAGGTGGGAGCCCACCCAAGGAAATAGCCTGCACAGAATAAACAGCCTCCTCCTTCCACTGTCTTCCGGGTGGTTTGCTCTTTTCAGAATGGGGCTTCATTCCAGGGGAAGGGTGCCGAGGTCCCCTTCTTGTTTTTTGGTTCCTGGGTGTTTGTTCCGTATTGTCTGGGTCACTACAAAGAATCCCATGAAGTTTAATCTTGTTTCTGAAGTGCAGCTTATCTGCTGTCTGTGGACACAGAGGCGTTCACCTGGCCGTCCCTTGGCGCCGGAAGAGGCCGTGGCATCTCTGCACTGTCTTCCTTCTCCTCTTCCGCCTTCAAACCCTTTCTCTCTCCTTTTCACTGCTGCTGGACTGTCTTTGCACCAAACCCTCTAGAGGCGTGGGTTTCAAGGACTGGTCGAGGTCCATCACTGGAAGGGGGGCACCAGAGGGCACATGTATTGGGGGTGTTCAGTAGATTCTTAGACCTAGTTTTCTGTGTCTTCCACGTAGTGAGGTAGTTGGCGGGCACTCACATGATGGGGTGGTCTCCTGCAAGGAACGCACAGCCCTTGTGTTTGTCATCCACAGTTGGTACTACTGATTTTCACAGGAGGATATTGCTTGCATATTTACGTATCTTAAGAAACCCAGCTGCCCTGGTGCCCCGGGGTTAAGTCACTATGCTTATCAACCTATTGCCAGCCACTGTGGCCTGAGTTTCATCCAGGCCAGGGATTGACCCCCCCCCCCCAAGGGCACAGCAGACCTCTCCTGTCTCCTGTCTCCTCAGCAGTGGATTTCAATGGATCCACCTGTTCTGTTCTTCACTGTCTCTGGGGTGTCCTCTCACCCCAACCCTCATGCCCCTGACTTATACCCCAAAACTTGTATATATAAATAAAAAAGCCTTTTAAAAAGTCAATACAGGGGCCCTCCCTGGTGGCACAGCACTGAGAGG